GGTACACTTAAATGGTTATTTTTTTTTTAACTATATATCAACTGCACTCAATTTGTGGCAATGCTAAGACACTAAATTTCTTAGAAAAGGAATTTAGGTTTGCCTTTGACCAGGAGTGAATGGGCACTGATGAGACCATTTTAGCAGGCTAGTTTAATGTAGACATCTGAGAACTGGCTCCTACATATTGCTTCTGGCCATAGACTTAGTCTCATAATCCCAAAGCAGGTCTCCATGGCTGCAGCCCTAGTTTTACATTTGCTTATTGTCCACAATTCAGGTCTTAGCTTTTTTATTTGTTTGCTTTTTTTTGCAAACCTAGCAGTGCTTTAAACAATAGAAACAAAATTTCTTTTTTCCACCTATTTCTTTTTTATCCTAGTACAGTTAACTCTTACTTACCTGCATTGCAGTGCTCAAACTTCTATTTGCATATTTATCCAACTGAAAAACTATGCCCAGGTCCGGAAAAAAATACAGGACACATGCACACTCAAACACATACATCTTGCAAAACTCCATTTATTTTCCTGAGGAATTTTCTGAGGCCCTACTCAAGGGAAACCTTTGGATACCTTTTGGAATAATCAAAATATTTTCACTTACTATTTTCCAAGAATGTTTTCCCTCAAAGAACACTCCCTCAGGACTCTGGAATGTCCTCAGTAGATCCTTCTCAGTCTTCCTGCTTTTAATGACCTCAATGTAACAATTATAGAGACACAGGACTCCCTCTTGTGTGCCTGTAGCTGGGAGCATTAAATGAATGTATTTGCTTCCCTTCCTTTAGTCCACGTTTTCCCTCAGCTTCCCTGGGACTACCTCAAGTTTCTTTCTTAAATAACTAATTCTCCTGTAGGAATGACAGTTTAATACTAGGTATCTTGGAATTTCACTTGCATCTATACAGGGACTGATCCCTTTTTTAATGTCTATACTTCCACATTGAAGAAATACTTGGGCATTTCCTCTTTCCATTCGTACCTCACTCTCCTTCCCCACCAATATTTCCTTCTCTTCTCTTAGACTGCCAGTCCTATTGCCCTCTCCTTTCGGAAAATTCCTCCCCTCCTATAGGAAAATATCTTGTTTTTTAAGTTTCTCACTTCTCCTTTTCCTCTAGCAGAGTTGCATTCTTATTCATGTGGTCTCCATTAAAAACTAATTATCATGACCTTGTTTCACTTTTCATTAGAGAGGTCAGCTGTTGGGATGATAAGAGGCATAAGGATGGGATAGCGTTGTTATGCCCTCTTTCCAATGGGCTATGATTAATGAGTCTCTCCCTTTGACATTTCTCAATATTCTCACCACTGAGTACTGAGGCCCTTCACATTTCGTTGTGAGTTAAATTATTAAAACCACATTCTATTTCTCCTGGAGAAAAAAAGCAAAAAAAATTAAAAACAAGTTTTACCTGTTGGTAATATCTGTACTTATGAAAAGAAAAATAAATTTATTTCACTGAGAGATTTCATTTCTCCCTGTTTTTTTTTTTTTTGTTTTTTTTTTCTGGGATTGACAGAGGCCCAAATAGGCCCATGGTTGTAATGGTGACATCCTTTGTTAAAAAATATGATGACAATCTCTATTAATTTCTTCTGATTCCTTCTTTGATAGGAAAACAGAAGGAGCTATTCATTTCTCAAGCAATACTTATTACTAAATAACACTATTCCCTACCTAAGGCCACCCAGTCACAGGTTACCATTCATTCTCCAGTTCTCTCCACAACCCTTGCTTTGCTCCTTCTTCTTCCTGACATAAATCTTTGTTTTCCAAAAATGAGAATTCTCCCCTTCTCTGGTCATTAGGTAGTCAAGTAACCAAACCCCAGTTGTCATAGACAAATATCTTCTCATAGTTATATGTGGCCCTAAAAGCAGCCTTAAAAATTGCTATGAATTAATCTGATTTGTCCCTAAGTAGGTTTTAAAACATTTCTAAGCATTCATATGTAGTCCTAGACATTCTTAATGTAAAAAATAATATCCATGTTAAAATGAGAAAGATTTCCATTATGAAAAAAAAAAACTACTTCTATTTGTAAAACTATTAGAACCCTACTTCTTTGCAGACATTTTGAATTAATGTTCACTCTTTTCAAGGCTGCTGTTTGCATTCTGTGTGGAGTTTCTAAGTTTTTCCTCTTTTATGGATTCTTAGAAGTGGTATATATATACATGGACCTTATATATAATGATGATTCTCAGCACAGAAAAAATGTATAAGGAAAATTATTGTTTATAAACAAAATAAATTTCTTCACTATATTTTCCATATTTTTATTTATTTATTTTTAATTTTTTTTAAAGATTTTATTTATTTATTTGACAGAGAGAGAGCGAGAACAGGAACACAAGCAGGGGGAGTGGGAGAGGGAGAAGCAGGCTTCCCGCTGAGCAGGGAGCCCGATGTGGGGCTCAATCCCAGGACCCTGGGATCATGACCTGAGCCGAAAACAGACGCTTAACAACTGAGCCACCCAGGCGCCCTATTTTCCATATTTTTAAAGTGCATGGATTGTGTTGTTTTCATTATTCAGTCTCCTCACTGTCATTAGATCTCCCTCAGATGCTTTCTAGAGGTTGAAATTGAAAAAGGTCATCAGGGAGTGATCCTGAAGTGATAGGTTTGTAGAGTTTGGGAATAGGCACGTAGGTGTACATCTAGGTGAGGGTACTATTAAGACTAATGAAATAATAGCTAGAACATTTCAAAGTGTACAGAATCAATTTTAGTTATATATTCTGTTGCTAACTGTATAATGGTTACCTTTCTATTTGATACATTATGTATTTTGCAAGATCATTTTACAGCAGTGGGTTTTCAGTGTGGAGTCCCCACACAGCAGCATCAGTATCACCAGGAAACTTTTCAGAAATGCAGTCCTTCAGTGCCTCTCCAAACTTCAGAATGGAATGGAAAAGGTGCCCAACAATTTGCGTATTAACAAGCCCTCCAGGTTATTCTGATGCATAAAATTTGAGAACCACTGGTTTAGTGCAATCCAAACCTAAATTATCAAGTTTTTTTTTTTCTCCTTCAGTGAAGAAAATAATGAATTATTTTTTGGGGCATTATTCTTTCTATCTTTTGAAATCATATACAAGACAATATCTTTCATGAAATGTAGTTTTGAAAACCTATTGTATAAAAGTCACTCCAAAGCATTAGAAGCCCTAGGCAGTTAAAAAATATACCTGAAGACAGGTTTATTTTATTCTAAGAAGTTTGTTTTTGTTTAATTTATAAGCTTTCAACTTAACCTTTCATTTCTATCAAGAACCCCACTTACCCAACATGATCTACAATATCCCATGATTCAAATAGCTTTGTGTTCTCTTATCCCTGTACTCTTAATTGTGAAAGTCTACCCACATAGCTGTTGATTTGGAAAAACTTTACAGATACAAGATAATTTATGGTTTCAAGTTAAAGAAAAATGAAAATGCATCAAGATGATGATCTGAATCAAACTATCTACCTCTCCCTCCTACTAAAATATTAATATTTTAATATGTATAGAGGTATATTCATAAAAGTACTGAAAAGATTAGAATGGTTGATTTCAAGGGAATTGCTTATTGCAGTTAATAAAAGAGGATGGAAAATAGTGTAGCTTAAGCCCCAGTACAAAAGACCAAAATAAGAGATTTTCTTCCAAAAGATACCCTGATACAGATGATAATCTTTTGCACTATACTTTTCAAAGTGTAATTCTTAGAACAGCATAATAGAATCACTTGGGAACTTACTAGAAATGTACATTCTCCATCCTTACTCCATATATGCTGAATCAGAAGCAGGGGGAAAAGCTGAGTAATCTATATTTTAATAATCTCTCCAAGTGATTCTGATGCATGTTAAAATTTAAGAGCCATCATCTTAACACTATTAAGAAATAAAAAATAAAAAGAAAGAGATAAAAGGAAGGGAGGAAAAAAGGAAGGAAATTCACCCTTTTCCCAATATTAAAAAAACTCTTTCTTAGAAATGTAAAGTGTTCCACCTATAAGACAATTACTGAATTAATAAAGAAATTGGTATTAAAAGCCATTTTAAATAAATGATACTGAGAAATGAGATTACTGAATTTTAAAATCTCTGGGCTATGGTTAACTTTACTCAGAAGAAAATAAGCAGTTTTGAATTTATTTATGGGGAAACAAGCAATATTGAAAATGAATTAGGAAAGTGGTTTCAAAATACTAGAGAAAACCAATTTTAATAATCCAGAGAAAATATACATGAAAAATAAATAAAAGATAAAAGCAGAATAATTGATTTCTCTGACTGTGTATTTCCTGAAAGGACCAAACAAACAGTTATGAAGTGGTATTAAGGTCACAAGCAGGAAATATGTAATCAATATTAGTGATTTTAGTTTTTGACAATGTGTCAGACAGCATGTCCTTCCAAAGACCATCTGACACTAAGACAAACAGGTGACAACAACAATAATAGCAAGTCCTAGAAATATTATTAACCAGTTTATTACCTTCACATCAGAAGAAAACTCTTGGAAAGAATGTTTTCTTCTCACTGCTTCCAATTTCAGTATGTCTTTAACCAGCCTTGGTCAGGTATCCATCCTCACCACTCCACAGAAGCTGTCCTTTTTTTTTTTCACTAATAATTTCCCTGTTGATAAATCAGGGATGGAGTGGTCCATTGTCACACTTTTTACTTGACCTGTGAACAACAATTCACTCTATTTGTTTCTTCCCTTTTCTTCCTTTTAATCTATTCTCACAGAAAATGCAAAAGTCCTCACTATGAACTACTTGGCCTTAAATCATTGACTTCCCATTACCTCTGTGATTTTATTTCTGAATGCTTATACTAATAAAACCCAAGATAATATTAATGACAATGATAATAATAACAATTATCAATATAATTTTATATGCCGGCTGCAAGTGATTTGTATATGTTAACTCCTTTAATGACCATAGAAACCCCATGAGGTGAGTTTTAATACCATCTCTACTTTACAGGTGAGGAAAATGAGTCCCGTGAGTCAACACTTGGTAAGTGTCAACTTGATAACAGAGAATATGATTTTAATATCTATATTCTTAACTCTGCCTACCATATCCCCTCACTTACTCTGCTCAGAATGTGTGCTTATCTCATGATTCAAGGATTCTCCTCTTATGTATGTATTGAAATAGAATGTATCACAAATTCACAAGGAGGTATATTTAAAATCATCCATAGTATTATCCTCAGTTGTAAAATCCTGGAATTAATCTGAGAGTTCATCCACAGAATGGATAAATCAATAGTGGTCTATTCATATACCCCAAATATCCTGCTGCTAGGAAAATGAATGAACTGGAGCTATTGGTATGCATATGGCTAAAATCACTATCAAAATATGAAGCTATAAAAAACAGTTGAAAACAATTTATGCACCATGATATATTTCTATATGGTTTAAAAACTGACAAGACAATTCTCCATGTAGTTCATGGATACATATACCTTGATAAAACTTTAAAGGCATGAAAAGGAATGACAAACATAAAAGTAAGTATAGGAGTTACTTTGATCTGGGTTGGGAAGGAAAATGAAAACAGAAAGGGTTCACAAGAAGTGCCAACAGTATTGGTCTATGTCTACCTTAAGCTGGGATTTATGCCCATCAGCATGTATTATGTTGATCTTTACTCCTTTTTATATCTCTGAAATAATTTAGAATACCAGTTTTGAAAGCAAAATAATCATATCAGTAACAAAAAAAGTGGCAGCAACACAAATAACTGTATAATAATAAAACTGAAAAGTCAAATGTATGATTTTAAACAAAAATATTTATCAAATATGCTCAGGAGGATATAAGAATCTCAGATATATGTCATGCATTGAAATAAAGTTAAAAGAAACATCTGTGAAAACTTGGGCAAGTTAATTATCATCCTTGTGCTTCTTTTCCATATATGTCAAGTGGGAATGACGGTATCTACAGAGAGGGTTGTTGGGAATATTCAGTGAGCGAATATTTATTAATCACTTATAATGGTATCAGACACGTATTAAGCACTATGCAAATCTTATTTATGATTATTATTGCTGCTATGTATAAATGAATAAAATGCCATCACTTGCAAGATTAAAAATGGAAACAATCTACATGCCCATCTAAAGAGAAATGCTTAAAAATTATAGATGATCCATATCATGAAGTAATATGCAACATGAAAGTGTAGGCAAAGGATTTTAGTCAGATACTTAAGCAGATACAGCAAGGCATGGTTAAAAAGTCAAATACAAAATAAAAATATTTGTGTATGTATGTATATGTATAAGTACATTCACTCACAAATCTATGTATATACATAAAATTCACAAAAATATCCTTGATAGAATGTGTACCGTATTTTTAACAGTGGTTAAACATTAGAAGAGGCTAACAGGCTGTGAAAAAAGAAGTAATTAATAATAATAATAATAATAATAATAATAATAATGTATTAATAATAACTCATATATTAAGCACATTTTATATACCAAGTAATAAACTAAGTAATTTAAAGATTTATTTATTTATTTATTTATTTATTTAAGAGAGAGAATGAGAGATAGAGAGCACGAGAGGGAAGAGGGTCAGAGGGAGAAGCAGACTCCCTGCCGAGCAGGGAGCCCGATGTGGGACTCGATCCCAGGACTCCAGGATCATGACCTGAGCCGAAGGCAGACACTTAACGACTGAGCCACCCAGGCACCCCTAAACTAAGTAATTTAGATAGTTTATGTCATGAGGACTATTAGAAAGGTATGATTATTATCTACATTTTACAGATAGAGACTAATATTTAGAGTTTACTAACTTAACCAGTGTTATGCAGGCATCAAATTCTAAAATTGAAATGTGAATAAACTGTGACTGCAAAGGCTAAAAATTTATTCACTGCCATACATAGCTTTTATTTTATTTATTTCATTTCTTTTTGTTACTTTTTTGTTTTGTTTTATATTAGATATAGGCAAAGGTTGTCTGTTTTCAAGAGCACTATTTAATGTTCCCTATAATTAAGGAACTTACCTGAAGCAGAAAAACCAGATAAACACTTCTTTTTGCTAAGGGAGCCCAAAATTCAGACAAACATCTTTTGGCTGTCCTATTTTTGATGGAGAAAGGGGAAAATTTGTAACTTGCCCATATGTCGCTAAGTCCACAGCCAAAACAAAGAAAAATAAATAAATGAAAAAAAAGTAGTAACATTATTTTCTCAAATCGCATCATTTTTTCTTAATATATATTTTTATTATAAAGTGGTTTTAGATGTACAGAAAAGTTGTGAAGATAGTGAAAGAATTCCCATGCACCCCATGCCCAGGTGCCCTTATTATTATCATCATAGTATGTTCCATTTGTTACAATTAATGAACCAATATTGACACATTATTAACTGAAGTCCATACTTTATTTGAATGTCCTGACATTTTACTTAATCTCCTTTCTCTGTTCCAGAATCTTATGCAGTACATCATATTATATGTAGTTGTCATGTCTCCTTAGATTCCCCTTGGTCAAGACAGTTTTTCACAATTTCCTTGCTTTGAGGATCTTGAGAATTTTGAGTAGTACCAATTGGATATTTTATAGAATGTCTCTTAATTAGGATTTGTCTTATGTTTTTTTTTTTTTCTTAATAGTTAGGCTAGGATTATAGGTTTGAAGGAGGAAGACCACAAAGATGTCATTCTTATCACATCATATCAAGGATTTACAGTAGCAACATGACATATCACTGCTGAGGTTAACCTTGATCGTTTGGCTGAGGTAGTGGTTATTAGGTTTCTCTACTGTAAAGTTATCCTTTTTTCCTCCACTTTCCACATATGCTCTTTAAAATAAGTCACTGTGTGTAGCCATCACTGAAGGATACCCAAGGAGTAGGTAGTTATGTTGTACCTTTTTGAGGGCAGTATATCTACATAAATTATGTGGAATTTTTCTGCACAGGAGAATTGTCTCTTTTTATCCATTTATTATTTATTCAATCATTTATTATACCTCTGTGGACTAATAAATATGTTTCATACTGAAATTCTTCCATCTTTGGTCATTGGAAGTTTTTTCAGGTGGCTTCTATATCTTTTTGACATATTCACATCATTGTTTGTTTGCTTATTTTAGCACTTGCTTGCTTTCTAACGCTATAAGATGCTTTGGGATCCTCATGTATATTCCGTCCCTCAATCCTAGAATTAGTCATTTCTTTAAGAAGGTCTGGTTATTCTTATTGAAAAATGGTATTAGAAACCAGTGGGCACTATGTGAGTTCATTGCTACGAGTGTATTGTTGATTTTAGGCCCTCTCAGTTGACAGAGCAAGGAAATATATGTGTATGCTAACCTGTGCATGTACATATATCTATACTTATATTCAAGTATATATGTATATGCGTATGTGTGCATGTGTGTGTCTGTACATATATTTACACACATTACCACTAGTTCTATATTAAGCTTAACATGTGTTCATACTAATGGCTTCAAGTCTGATCCATTACTCTATGGATAATTCTAGCCTTCTTCCCTAGCTTGTCTAATCTCCATTCCAACCACGAAAGATCTGGCTCCCACCATCTGTCTTCCATTTATTTATTTGTTCAATTCCAGTATACATGTATATTGGTTTTAGAATTGCTAACTCATTCCCTCACAGGAAACAACTTTATCAACTGGAGTTCACTTCTTATGTATCATTCCTCATGCATTTTCAAAATTACTTCTGTTAGCATTTTTTTTTTTCCCTCAGACCCTTCAGTGATGTTATTTCATTCATTTGTAATACAATTGGATTTCTTTGTCACTGTCTGCATGCCAATCTGGGATCCCCCAACTGCCTAAGTTATTTTTTTATTAATTTGCATGTATTAACTTCCAGCATAAATTTGTCAGTTACTACAAATGACTTTTTTTTTTTAAGATTTTGTTTATTTGAGAGAGAGAGAGATAGCATGAGCAGGGGGAGGGAGGAGCAGGCTCTCCACTGAGTAGGGAACCCTGCTCCATCCCAAGGACTCAATCCCAGGACTCTGGAATCATGACCTGAGCTGAAGGCAGACGCTTAAACAACTGAGCCATCCAGGTGCCCCCCTACAAACGACTTTTTGCGATTTTGACTATAAATGCATTAAATCTGTAGATCAAGTTTGGAAGAATTTATCTTATCAATATTGAGACTTCCAATCCATAAACAAAAAAATGTCTTTCCATTTATTTAGATCTTCTTGAGTTCTTTTATGAATATTTTGTTGTTTTCTGCATACTGATCCTATCCTATATGTATTTTGATGGATTTATTTAGAAGTCCCTTTTTAGTGTATTTTGATTGGTATTGATTTCTCAATTTCAAATTTCAGTTATTCATTGTTGTCATGTAGTAATACAATTGACCTTTGTATATTGACCATGTATCCTCTGATCTTACTATGTTCACTTCTTTTTCTTCACCTATTTTCCTCACCCCCACCCTTCACCTCTGACAAGCACAAATTTGTTCTCTGTATCCATTCCTTTGGTTGTTGGTTTTGTTTTGTTTTGTTTTAGATTCCACATATAAGTGAGATCATACATTATCTGTCTTTGTCTGACCTATTTTACTTATATTCACTTTTTCGTTTCAGGATTTTTATGTTGTTGTTGATTCCTTGAAGTTCTCTATACAGGTAATCATGTCATCTAAGAATAAGGACAGTTTTATATATTTCGCATCTTTATACCTTTTCTTTCCCTCTCTCCTTCCCTCCACTCCACCCCTTCCTTTCCTCCCCCTTCCTTCCTTCCTTCCTTCCCATCTTGTACTAGCTGGGACATCCAGTACAATGTTAATAAGAACAGATATCCTTACCTTGCCTTATTCCTGATCTTAGAAGAAAAGAATCTTGTCTTTCAGCTATACAGTAATGATGATATTAGCTGTGGGTCTTTTGTAAACATTATTTATCATTTCAGGAAATTCTCCATATTCATAGTTTGCTGAATGTGCATGTCATAAGTGAGAGTTAGATTATG